TAACATAGCGATACAAAGACAGATTGTGATTTGAATTTTGTTCTGCCTAAATATTGAAAAGTATATGCAACAGTGCCCTCTGCAGGATGGGATATGGTAGTTGACCTTTCAAAGAGCAACTTCAGTAAAAACTTGCTTTAAAACACTTAAAACCTTACTTTTTTATAGTTTAGTTTAAAAAAAGACAAAGAGATTTCCCCCAGATCAGATATATACTTTTATCAGATCAACGTTCAGACATTGAAAGGTATCACTTAGGGTGCCGTGGCAATTTCCGTGCGTCATAATTATTTTAGTCTGAGAGTGCAGGCTCAACTACACAACTGTTATGCCTGCATATTTGTACATACCTACCCTATTAACAATTATTATAGGTGCTTATGACAGGTAAAACGAATATACTCATTTAGGAAAAAGAAGTGTAATCAACATTCCGTTTTCCGTTCTTGAGTTTGGAGTAGAGCAACTGCTTTGGGAGACGGTGGTCAGGCATCCAGACAACGTGGCCGGTCCAGCGGAGTTGATGGCAGAGGACCATTGCTTCAATGCTGGTGGTCTTTGCTTCTTCCAGCACGCTGACATATGTCCGCTTGTCTTCCCAAGAGATTTGCAGGATTTTTCGGAGGCAGTGCTGATGGAATCGTTCCAGGAGTTGCATGTGACATCTATAGCAAGTGTATAGCAGGGTTGGGAGGACAATAGCTTTGTAAACAAGCACCTTGGTATCCCTATGGATGTCCCGGTCCTTAAACACTCTCTGCTTCATTCAGAAAAAGCTGCACTCGTAGAGCTCAGGCGGTGTTGTATTTCAGTGTCAATGTTGACTTTTGTGGAAAGGTGGCTGCCAAGGTAGTGGAAAGGGTCAACATTTTCTAATGTTACACCATTAAGCTGTATTTCTGGCATTGGAGAGGGATTGGATGGTGACTGCTGGAAGAGCACTTTGGATTTCTCGATGTTTAATGACAAGCTGAGCTGCTCGTATGCTTCTGCGAAGGTGTTTAGAGTGGCTTGTAGGTCTTCTTCTGAATGCGCACAGACGATGAAGACCTAAAGACCAAGCTCTACCTGTTTTGTTATGCTGAAAGCGGAGAGAAAGGAACAGCCACTATCCTACCAGATAGGCAGCAAGTATGCTGCATAGGCTCTAGCCCAGTGGTTCTCAACCTGTGGGTCCCCAGATGTTTTGGTCTTCAACTCCCAGAAATCCTAACAGCTGGTAAATGGCTGAGATTTCTGGGAGTTGTAGGACAAAACTGCTGGGAACCCACAGGTTGAGAACCACTGCAAAGTCTAGCCAGTGCTGGGAGATCTGGGTCCTCTGCCCTCTCCTGGACACAAACTAGACATGACAACATTTCCTCTATCAAGCTGAGGTTGTGCTCGGGTGGGGTGTCGGGTGTTGTATAAAGGAATGCAATCTACTTCTGCACTGTCTCCAACAGAATATCAACAGATATGATCCCGGTTATTCTATTCTTGGCTGGACTCTTGACCAATGTATGCTTTCCTTCACTTCTTCAGCTTTGGGCCACAAAGAAAAATATGTTGTAGTTTAGTGAAGTGAACTAAATTAAGCTAAAGGTTGGTGCAGTGGGCTAAACCGCAGAGCTGCTAAACTTGTTGACTGAAGAGTTGCAGGTTTGAATCCGGGGAGCGGTGTGAGCTTCTGCAGTCAGCTCCAGTTTCTGCCAACCTAGCAGTTAGAAAACATACAAATGTGAGTAGATCAATAGGTAGATCCGGCGGGAAGGTAACGGCACTCCATGCAGTCATGCTGGCCCATGACCTTGGAGGTGTCTACGGACAACGCCGGCTCTTCGGCTTAGAAATGGAGATGAGCACCAACCCCCCAGAGTCGGACACGACTGGACTTAACGTCAGGGGAAAACCTTTACCTTAATTTAGTTTAGCTCTAAATCATGCTAAATTAGGACTTTCCTAGGATAACTCATTCTCCTTTTGAACTGGGAAATTTCTGAACAGGATCCTTAGGGTAGGTCTAAATCCAGTTGCTTGTCTAAGATAGACTCACTAAATTAATTGCTGAATAAAAATACAACATTAAAATAAATCTAATTGGTTCTACAATTATACTGCAGTTGGGAGTACACCTTGGATGCCAGCCTTACAATTTGCATGCTTTCACATGTTGACTCAAAACCTTTTTCGCCTTAGAAAATCACAGTTCTGAGCTGTTTACATGTTTTGTCAGGCATCTCTAGCATTAGTCCATATTAGAGGATTTGCTGTTGTATGCCTTCAAGGCAGCAACCCCAAAGTGAACTTTAAAAGTAAATATAAAGGCTTATCTTGACAATAAGTCTAGTTGTGTCCGACTCTGGGGGTGGTGCTCATCTCCATTTCTAAGCCAAAGAGCGGCTTTGTCTGTAGACACCTCCAAGGTCATATGGTCGGCATAACTGCATGGAGCACTGATACCGTCCCACCTAAGCAGTACCTATTGAGCTACTCACATTTGCATGTTTTCAAACTGCTAGGTTGGCAGAAGCTGGGGCTAACAGTGGCAGCTCACCCCACTTTCCGGATTCAAACTGCTGACCTTTCAGTCAGCAAGTTCAGCAGCTCAGCTGTACTCGCTATGCCACCGGGGGCTCCTATCATGGGATAATCTTGGCAAATTTGCTCAGCGGGGGGTTGCTATTGCTTTCCTTCAAGGCTGAGAGAGTGTGACTTGCCCAAGGCCACCCAGTACGTTTCCACAGCTGAGGACAGAGTCAGACTCTGTCCTCAATTTACCTGTCCGAACGTATCCTCCCCTATGAACTATCAAGATTGCTAAGATCGTCTGGAGGGGCCCTGCTCTCGATCCCACCGGCCTCACAGGCGCGGCTGGTGGGGACGAGAGACAGGGCCTTCTTGGTGGTGGCCCCTCAACTCTGAAACTCCCTTCCACTGGAGATCAGAACTGCCCCTTCTATCTTAACGTTCAGGAAACAGGTGAAAACTTGGCTTTGGGGATTGGCATTCGACGAATGAGCCATGATCTTGTGACATGGATGGATGATGACGAATAATGATTTTTGATGACAACTGACCACTGTAATTATATGATTGTATTTTGCTATTTTAATGTTTTAGTGTGATTTAGAATATGATGTTTTAATGACTGTCTGTAATATTGATGTTGAAAACCGGCCTGAGTCCCTCGAACGGAGGTGAGAAGACTGGTATACAAAACTGCTAAATAAATAAATTCATCCAACAGCCAAACCACAACACCTTGCAGGCACTCAGCCTCATTTCACTGACCAAGCCCATTTGTTCAACAAGGCAGAGTTTATAGTTTGCACCAATTATCTTTTAAAAGGCTAAATAGCATATCCAAAGCTTGAGAAATGTACTGTTGATTAAACAAATTGAAGTTACTTATTAAAGGCAATACAGGCAGTCCCCAAGATACAAACATCTGACTCTCCGGCGTTGGTCTTCACCAGCAGAGTTCAGAATGCTCTTTGTTTGTAGGTTAACTATATATTCCAGCAACTACAACTCCCAAATGGCAAAATCATTTTTGTGTGTGTGTGATGGTTATGTCACTCAAAATGAATAGAGAAATTATATATATATATACTAGCCATCCCCTGCCACACATTGCTGTGGCCCAGTCTGGTGATCTGGAAAATAAAGTAATAAGAAAGTGTTGGTTTCTAATATATGTAATTTATTTCTGCTTGTGGGTAAACAGTATTTCTTGCTGTTTCTTTGTCAGTGTTGATGTGGAGAGTGTCTGGTTTGCCTACTCTGGAACATGCAGCATCTAACTGTCCTTCTTTAGGGGTCCCTTTCAAATCTATGATACTATATCTCTGTGTGTGTGTGAATCATATCTATCTATATCTATGGCTGGATGGCTCTTTGTCAGGAGGACTTTGATTACGTTTTCTTGCCCTGATGAAGGGAGTTGGATTGCATGGCCTTAAGTATTTTCTGATGGTCATGGGGGTTCTGCATGGGAAGTTTGCCCCAATTTTGTCATTCGTGGGGTTTGGAATGCTCTTTGATTGTAGGTGAATTGTGAATCCCAGTAACTACAACTCCCAAATGTCAAGGTCTATTTCCCCCAAACTCCAGCTGTGTTCATATTTGGGCATATGGAATATTTATGCCAAGTTTGGTCTAGATCCATCATTGTTTGAGTCCACAGTGCTCCTTGGATGTAGGTGAACTACAACTCCCGAACTCAAGGTCAATGCCCACCAAACCCTTCCAGTACTTTCTGTTGGTCATGAGAGTTCTGTGTGCCAAGTTTGGTTCAATTCCATCATTGATGGAGTTCAGAGCGCTCTTTGATCATAGGTGAACTATAAATCCCAGCAACTGCAACTCCCAAATGACAAAATAATAATTTTTGAGTGATGGTCACTCCTTGTGCTGTGAGACGTTTTGTTGCCAAATTTGGTGTGATTTCGTTCATTGGTTCTTTTGTTTTTAAGGAACTCATTATGCACAGAGCATTTATAGATAGATAGATAGATAGATAGATAGATAGATAGATAGATAGATAGATAGATAGATAATAATATAGGTGGTCAGCTGAAACATTCACACCTAGCTCCAGCAGACAAGAGACCTTTGTCCCACCCTGGTCATTCCACAGATATATAAACCCTTTTTCCTAGTTCCAACAGACCTCGCTACCTCTGAGGATGCTTGCCATAGATGCAGGCGAAACGTCAGGAGAGAATGCCTCTTGAACATGGCCATACAGCCCGAAAAAACCTACAACAACCCAATATAATAATAATAATTATTATTAATATTATTTACTAAATCATGGTTTGCCTTTTGGATTGTAAATAATACAGGAAGCCCTGAGTGGTTTGCAAATCTGTGAGCTCACAGCGAAGGGCCCAATGGGAAGGTCCTGCCAGGAGGAGAGGCGTGGCTCCCTCCCAAATCCAACCTGGGCTGATTCAACCAGGAGAGATGACTGTACACAAGGCCTAGCCGCTCCCACTCTCTGACGCTGTCAACAACTGAAAGGAACTGCCAACCCGGCAGAGATCTCCAGCAAGTCGGAGGTGGATCCAAGGCTCCTAGTGGTTGTGGCTGGGAGGGAGGGAGCCCAGCAAGCTCGTCCCCTTTCTGGGAGCCGGCAGATCCGGGTCCTGTGGCAGTGGCTGGCCTCTGACGTGGTCACTGGGACCAAAACAAGCCGACAGAAGAAGGAAGGAAGGGAGGGAAGAGACAAGCCTTGCCTGCAAGCCTCCTTGCACCAGCACAGCAGCTTTGGTGGTGAGTGAGTGAGGCTCCTTCTCTCCCTCTTTCTCTCTTTCTCCCCCTTCCCTATTCCCTAGATCACTTTACCCCCCCCCCCCCAAATTGGTCAACATAATGCCAAAAGGGAGGGCCTCCACTTCTAGTTCTTTACAGGCCTTTCAACTTGAACTCTAGGCAAGCAGGCCCCATAGTCTTTCCCAGTTAGAAAGTCTGTATTTGGAGCGCCTGTTGCTCTTCTCCTCCCTGCCAAATGCTTTAGGCTGCAGTGGTTCTCAACCTGTGGGGTCCTCAAATGTTTTGACCTTCCAAAAATCCTAACAGCTGGGATTTCTGGGAGTTGTAGTCCAAAGCATCTGGGGTCCCACAGGTTGAGAACCACTGCTTTAAGGTGTGCTTTGAATGTGATTTTCCTGCTTCTTGGCTGGATGGGGTTGGTCTGGATAGCCCACTAGGTCTCTCTGGACCATGCTCTTACCTACAAGAAGCACTGCCTGAACATCAAGCAAAAAGTGGGCGCTAGAAACAATATCATACGAAAGCTGACTGGCACAACCTGGGGATCACAACCAGATACAGTGAAGACATCTGCCCTTGCACTGTGCTATTCTGCTGCTGCGTATGCATGCCCAGTGTGGAACACATCTCACCACACTAAAACAGTGGATGTGGCTCTTAATGAGACATGCCGCATTATCACAGGGTGTCTGCGCCCTACACCACTGGAGAAATTACACTGCTTAGCCGGTATTGCACCACCTGACATCCGCCGGGAAGTAGCAGCCAATAGTGAAAGGACCAAGGCAGAGACATCTCCAGCTCATCCCCTGTTTGGGTATCAGCCAGCACGTCGACGACTTAAATCTAGAAATAGTTTTCTAAGATCTACAGAGACACTCGCCGGAACACCTCAGCAAGCGAGAGTCCAAAAGTGGCAGGCTCAAACCCAGAACCTCAACCAATGGCTGATACCAAATGAGAGACTCCCCCCTGGGCACACAGAGGAGTGGGCGACTTGGAAGGTGCTGCACCTCAATCCATGGGTGATACCAAATGAGAGACTCCCCCCTGGGCACACAGAGGACTGGGCAACTTGGAAGGCGCTGAACAGACTGCGCTCTGGCACCACGAGATGCAGAGCCAACTTTCAGAAATGGGTCTACAAAGTGGAATCCTCGACATGCGAGTGTGGAGAAGAGCAAACCACTGACCACCTGCTGCAATGCAACCTGAGCCCTGCCACATGCACAATGGAGGACCTTCTTGCAGCAACACCAGAAGCACTCCAAGTGGCCAGATACTGGTCAAAGGACATTTAATCAACTACCAAACACACAATTTTTGTATTTTGTCTGTTTTTTTGTTTTTTTGGGTTTTTTTGTGCTTTGTTCTGTTAGAAATGTAATATAATCGACTGGTTGCGGTGACACGATAAATAAATAAATAAATAAATAAACTAGGTCTCTTCCAACTCTAGGATTCTGTGAAATGAGGCCTATTGATTTGGATTACAAAATTGGGGTGTGTGGGTAATTAATTAAGATATACAGTAAAGGGAGTCACAATTGGAACCTGTATCCTAGCCATAAAGATTGTAAATAGTTTTTAGGTTATCTTTTAGATGGCTACGGTTCATATTATATTGTTTTGTTATCTGTATGAAGAAATTAATTAAAAAAAATGGGGGGGGGGACCGTTCCTGTATTGTCGAAAGCTTTTATGGCTGGAATCACTGGGTTGTTGTAGGTTTTTTGGGCTATATGGTCATGTTCAAGAAGTATTCTCTCCTGACATTTCGCCTGCATCTATGGCAAGCATCCTCAGACCTCACAACCTCTGTGGATGCTTGCCATAGATGCAGGAGAAATGTCAGAAGAGAATGCTTCTAGAACATGGCCATATAGCCCGAAAAACCTATAATAATAAACTTATATGATTATAAACTATAATAATAACATGGCTTCATGTTAGCTGCTCTGAGTCCCGTTCGGGGAGATGGAGGCGGGGTATAAATAAAGTTTATTATTATAGGTTTTTCGGGCTATATGGTCACGTTCTAGAAGCATTCTCTCCTGACGTTTCGCCTGCATCTATGACAAGCATCCTCAGACCTCACAACCTCTGTGGATGCTTGTCACAGATGCAGGTGAAATGTCAGGAGAGAATGCTTCTAGAACATGGCAATATTATTATACTTTTTCGGGCGATGTTCTAGAAGCATTCACTCCTGACATTTCGCCTGCATCTATGGCAAGCATCCTCAGACCTCACCACCTCTGTGCCATATTATTATACTTTTTTCGGGCTATATGGCCATGTTCTAGAAGGATTCTCTCCTGACGTTTCAACTGCATCTATGGCAAGCATCCACAGAAGTTTTGAGGTCTGAGGATGCTTGCCATAGATGCAGGAGAAATGTCAGGAGAGAATGCTTTTAGAACATTGCCATATAGCCCCAAAAACCTATAATAATAAACTTTATTTATACTCCGCCACCATCTTCCCGAAGGGGACTCAGAGCGGCTAACATGAGGCCAAGCCCAAAGATACAATACAGCAAAATAAAATACAAAATGCAGACAACAATAATTACATCAGAATAAAATACAGACAGTAGCAAAATAAAATAAATAAAACAAATTGACGTAATATAAAATCGAACACAATGAGCAGGTCAAACGGTCGAGGTAAAATCATAAAACCCTACAACAAGACTGTTCCTGGTTTGAAAGTGTTTTTTCCCCTGTTTCATTTACTTTGAAAGTAGTTGTTATCCTCCAGAAACATCGTTTTTGGGCCTGACACAAACTAGGTTGAATCCACTGAGACTCATGAGACGTAAATTGAAAAACAATAACAAAATGTGCTGCAGGATGTCCTGCAAAAAACAAAGTTTTGGCAGCTTTCTGGGTTTTTATAATAATTTCAGAAATGACTTTTATAACCCAGGAACAAAAATCGTGTTACATAATGCTATCTGGAACTAGATTTGTAGGACCTTTTAACATTGTACATGTAAAATATTCAGATAGTGATTATGAGTCATTTTAAAGTATTTTTAGTGTTATTTATTGTGTTGTTGAAGGCTTTCATGCCCAGAGTCACTGGGTTGCTGTGAGTTTTCCAGGCTGCATGGCCATTTTCCAGAAGCATTGTCTTCTGATGTTTTGCCCACATCTATGGCAGACATTCTCAGAAATTGTGAAGTCTGTTGGGAACTAGTGAGGTTTATATATCTGTGGAACGTCCAGGGTGGGAAAAAGAACACTTGTCTGTTTGAGTAAATCAAGGGCAACACTAAAAAAAAAAAGGGTAATTCTAGAAAAGATTAATCAGAGCCAGCTAACATCTCTCAACAAAGGATTCCCTCAGGCAGGAAGCAGCCAGGCTGTGAAGCTGCAAGGCCATTCAATACTAATCAAGGTGGTCAACTGCAACATTAATAAAAAATAAAACTTTATTTATATACAACTCTATCTCCCCGGGGGGACTCAGGGCGGTTTCTAAGCAACAACATCAAAACATACAGAGTCACAACATGAACAAAAAATAACAGTAACAGCAATGTAAGCATGAAGCATTCACACTTGCCCCAAGCAGACAAAATTTCCTTCTCCCACCCTGGACATTCCACAGAATATATAAACCCCATTTTCCAGATCTCACAACCTCTGAGGATGATTGCCATAGATGTGGACGAAACGTCAGGAGAGAATGCTTCTGGAACGTGGCCTTACATCCCGAAAAACCTATAATAATAAACTTATATGATTATAAACTATAATAATAACATGGCCGCATGTTGGAACAGACCTCACTACCTTTGAGGATGCTTGCCATAGATGCAGACGAAACTTCAGGAGAGAATGCCTCTAGAACATGGCCATATAGCCCTAAAAACACCTACAACAACCCAGTGATTCCGGCCACGAAAGCCTTCAACAATACATTGAGCATCATATTGTTAGTAAGAAGTGAGCATTTGGAAGTATGCAGAAAATATTATTCTGTTGAATTTAGTTCATCACATTGTACATTTATTATCTCACTGTTTCAATCTTTATGATTGTATCTTTGAAATCAAATTTCTGGGCTTTCCTGAAACATTTTTTCTCTATGATGTTTAGATGTTCTGAAGATTGGTCAGGGCCTTTTAAAAATAATATGCATGAAGCATTCTTCTTTCTGTAAATTCATCTTCAAATACTGTACCATATGGTGACAGCAGATTGAAATCTTTCCCAAATAATATCAGAATGTGTTGATTGATCACCGGAAACTGCTAAAGTTTGTTTAGATCATGTGTGTGTTGCAAATGATATTTGGAGAAGGTAGGGAGGAGACGATGGTTCTCCCCCTTTCAATTTTATATCACACATAGCTTCTGAAACTGCTTGAGTTTCCCCGAAGCTTTCACTGCTGAAGAAACACAGGTCTATGGTAATGTTGACTGTGTCCAAAGTAAACCATTTATCAGAAAGAGGTGAGACAGACAAGTAAATATGTAAATGGCTTTATTACAGGATCAGGTTTGCATCAGAGAAGTCACCATTTCAAATATCCTCGTTTCCAAAATCTGCATTTAATGTCATATATTCACTGATTGCAACCCCATTAATTTCATAGCGTTTTCTTAGGCAAAGAACTCCAACTCCCAGAAGCCCTAGCCACCGTCCCCTATGGTCAGGAATTCTGGGAGTTGGAGTCCCAGACAGCTGGAGGGCTGCAGTTTGCCACCAGGTTTACTGTTGCCAACTTTTTTCTCGACCCCAACACTGTTCTAAGATTTGTGTTTGTGCCTCAGAGTTTAAGAAGCAGTGCTGTAGACTAGTATATTTCATAGGAAGGAACTGATATATCAGATAATCTTTCACAAAACAAATACAACCCTGCAAACTATGCCATATCTTAAACAACTATTTTTAAACAAGTCAGAACAAAAAATGTGAGAGCTGCTATCCTGTACTGACTTTACTGGAATAAGCTACCTTTGCTCAAGACTAAATATGAACAGAATT